GTAGCAGTAGTAGTAGCAAGAGTAGTAGTAGTAGTAGTAGTAGTAGACCTAGTAGCAGTAGTAGTAGTAGTAGTAGTAGTAGTAGTTGTTGTTGTAGCAGTAGTTGTTGTTGTTGCTGTAGTAGTAGCAGTAGTAGTAGTAGTAGTAGTAGTAGTAGTAGTTGTTGTTGTAGCAGTAGTAGCAGTAGTAGCAGTAGAAGTAGTAGTAGTAGCAGCAGTAGTAGTAGTAGTAGTACCACTACTACTACTACTACTACTACTACTACTACTACTACTACTACTTGTAGTACTAGTAGTACTAGCAGTAGTAGTAGTAGTAGTAGTAGTAGTAGGAGGAGGAGGAGGAGGAGGAGCTGTAGCAGTAGCAGCAGTGTTGTGTTCTGCGGTTCCTCTTCATCGGGTCAAGGGCAAGGATGTCAAGGTCTGGGTGGGTGAAGTCTGGAAACAGCACAAACTTACGGCGCCGCCCCGTCGCACTCCTGCCGATGACATTCTGACCGTGGTTCGTTGTCGAGATGGCCTCAATCCGCGCGCTCCGGAGCTTCTTATGTGAGGATGATGGCGGAGCAATGAGAAGGCTTTTTAGTAACAAGAGATTTGGCTAGAAGGCATCCCCGAAACCGCCTATGCCCTAGGCTTCAAAGCCCTGATGGCCGCTTGAGTAACAAAACAACCTAAACACATTGTAAACATGAACAAGCCGAGAAAACACTCGCAGCCCAACAACAAAGTCGAATTAAGCATTTCCTCCGTGCAAAGCACGAAATCAAGGCTTCAAGGGCTGGCCTGCGGAGAAAGGCACGTGCGAGGAGGCACACGGCGGCCCAGTGATGCGCCCTGGAATGTTTGTCCACTACAGTTTTGACAGATTGATGAAGCTGAATCAAGCTCTATAATGCGTGTTCCGCGCTGGGCAGGACTTTCAGGGCTTTGGTTTTGCCGAGGGTGAGGCAGATAATGTTGAGGAATGGTGAGGGTGCAAGCTTCAGCCGACAGGCCACTTACCTTTGTAAGCCCTAGAGCAGTCCGAACTCCGAACCCAAAAAGATAGTAGAGCACGTGACCCCTTGTCACTCAAGCTCAAAGCAAGTGGGCCGCTGCCTCGCGAGCGCACAATGCGACTTCGACACTATGCCTGCCAACTGCTTTCCAGGTTTCGGGGTCAGAGCCTGCTCAATATGTCTGAGACAACGGCACGCCACAGCAACAAGCTACCAACTATGACTAATTAACTGCAAGTCTTGGACAAGGGCGTGGGGCTGTTTCCGATGAGTTTTGCACTGAAGGTCTTGTGCGCGGGGCCTATGCATCCCGTGAAACTTGTTGCCGTCATGTCGGTTCAGCATGCTAGCAACAAGTGAAAGCATCCCTTCAGGCATCTCGAATGTCACCCGCCTGTGTCGAGGAAGCGATTTCCCACAATGGGGCCGGGCACGACCTGTTCACTCCGATGCATAAACTTAAGCCACCGCTCAGGAGCCAGAGAAATGCTCCTGTCTCGTGATTCATATCTCGACTGCGAGCCGGCGCACTTCAAACGCACATCTACCTCTTCAGTCAGGTTGACACGGAACATTCTCTCATGCACCCAAGTTGCCTGAACAAGTCTGGGGCAGCCAACTGCAAAAGCTAGGTCCTGACGAAATCCCAGGTGAAGACCATGCCTCTTCATGTGCCATGTGCGTGGTCCATAACACATTACACAGGCTTACTGGTGTCGCTGCTGCTGGGGACGACTCTCGCTTTGTGATTGCCAAGGATGGCGTGGAGCAAACTAGCAAGGACATAGGAATTCGCCCAAACGGTTAAGATGAACCGTAAACGTCGCACATGGTGTGAATGGCATGCTCAGCCCCTACGCCTACTCGGAGCGCTTGCTTCAGATGCAAATGTACATCATGCAACTCCTGTCCTGCAGTGCTGAGGCCATCCACCGACCCAACGGCGGCTGGCTAGCTCAATGCTCGCAAAGGCTTGGCTTTTTACTGAGAGCTTTTCATATCTCCTGACCATTCACGTCTGTTTGCTATCAGTCTGTCGGGATCCGATGAGGGGCTCCTGCGCAGTTAGCTTCCTCGGATCACTCTGTCTATTCTTACAGCAAATCCTTGCAGAAATGGCCTCGCACATCACACGCACATTGCGGGATGGAATGTAAGAGATGGAGCTTCCGTTGTCCCAGATGAAGGGCGAGATCTTGCTAGGGCAAAGAGGAAGACATAGTCTTCTGGCTGCATTGTCACTTCCACACTGCTGCTGGATACCACCTGCGGCGAAGCGATCGCCATGAGCATGTTGTCTTCCTGGACCTGCGGTGTTGTCCACCTATATCCGCTCTTTCGCAACCTAGCGGGCGAAGCAATGTGAGACCATTGGCCCATGTTGGCCAGTTGACCCAGCAGTCTCCTTGGGAGTTGCTGAGTCTCGCATTAACATGAGAGCTGTCGTCACTGCTTGGCGTACATACATAAGACAAAGCCCTGTGCCTCACATGTCACCTCGAAGGTCAGCAAACCGTGACAAGCTTCAGCATCGACATGCATGGACCTGTGGTGAAACTCATGCAGCTCATGCTTTCGTGCGTGGAGCCGGATCACCTGCTTTGCCAGATGCACAGCGGACCTATTCGAATCAACATCGTGTGACCACCTGATGTGTCTCGAACAGAACAGTCGCACTGATAACTAATAAAGCTGTTGCTGCAACAGATGCACCGCTCACTCCAAGCAGACCTACAGAAGTGGATCAGCTTTGTCCTCTTCGAGGCAAATACGGCCAAACAAACGCTTGCACGGCTTACAGAGCTTATCTTGAAAGTTTGCATTCAAGTACTCGAAACTCATCAACTGGCTGTTCTCCTTGGGTTCCCGGGCTTCTTGGACATCGGCGACATCGCAGCCGCTGCAGACAGGCTTGTGCCAGCCAGGCTGTTCCTGCAAGACTACCTATCAAGGCTGCATGTGCTGTCACATGCGCAATGTGGAGGCTCGCACAGTGGGCACCCACACACGAAAGTCTACGAGCGAGGTCGAGGCGCGGAGATAAATTCCAACCCTAGCTCGTGCAACAAGCGCTTTTGGTTCGGAACCCATCTGGCGCCTTCTTTCTTCCTGTAAACTCTTTCGTCGGAAGGCAGCCATAGTTGCCTGAAGCCAAATCTGTGTGTTTGCATTCTTAGCTTCGGGAACGTTCCCAAAAACAACAGTGGCCCTGCCAGGATCTGACACTGGGCTTCGAAGATCTCACAGATATAGCTGCTGCCTTGCACTTAGAAGTCTTGTGAAGAACCGAAGGTGAGAGGGCAGCCGGATTAAACAGGCTCTATAGGTACTATATAAGTTCTACGGAGCAGCTCAAGACTTCAGCCTATTTCCGAGATGACCCGGGGTGATATGGGATATGCAGATGCATCCGGACCTCCAACATCTCCTGCTTCTGCTTCTCGCGCCTCTTGCCCAGCCTCATAACAGCAGGCCGGAGCAATCCGAGCAAAAAACCATCAACCGCTCTCACTTTCCGAGCGATAGCAAGCAGGAGCAGTCTCCTCGCCCGTGCATTTGTCCACGATGCCCTGCTCTTGGCAACGAAGCTTCTGCTGCAGGCCACTCTCAAAGCTGGTCATCTTGGCTGGTGACCTCTCAGGCACAGAAAAACACGAGTGAGCCAAAGATCCCAGCAGGGGCAAGCTGATCAAAGGGGCAAATCGAGAGAAGCGGCAACAAGAATACAAGGCCCATCGAGGCCCTAAAAAGGTAAGGACATGGCCTTAAGTCGCCGCTTTAGCCCGTAGCAGAACTGCCGGGCCTGGACCTTGACTACAGAGATGTAGAATCGATCCTGGGAGAGGCAGAGCTAAGTCGCCTTTAAAAGCCTTTAGTGCGTTTGGCGAAAATCTCCGTACCAAGGGGCGGTGTGCTGGCCATGCTGAAAGAAACGGTCGAACTGGGAAGACACCTTCTTCCAATGGCTGCTGGCGGCACGGCCGTACGTCAAACTCACCCTCCCTGCTCCAGCCTTCGCCGCATGGCCCTCGGCTTCGCCGGGACATCCACGGCCTCGGCGGCGGTGGTGCAAAGCTGACAGGGCTTCAGAAGCCTTTCCCTGCGAGCCCAGTTGCAGATCAACAAGCCACACATCTCCTCCTTAGAGGCAGAAGCTGATGGCGACCGAGATCGGTGGTTTGATAGGGCTCTGGTGAGGATCTGGTACGGATGGTTTGGGCGAACAGGCCTTTGAGTTGAGGGCTTGAGGGACAGGCTTGAAACGTTTTAAGCAGTGGGCCGAGCGGGTCGATGTGTGATTCTGCTGCAGTGTCCACAGGTACACCAAGCAACCCCCAACCGATACCCAAAAGCGATAATGAGACTCTTGAAGAAAGCTGCTAACACACACTCATACAGAAACTCTGGTTTGTTGCACTTATCGGCGAGCTGCGGCATCCTCCAAGTGCGAGGCGTCCACGTCACTCGAGGCCTCGAAAAGGCGACCGTCCGGGCCCGGGCGGCCCGGGCGACGTAGGAGGCCTGGGAAGCGACAGGCGTTCGAGTGCAGAGGCTTGGCGCGGATTGCCTCGACGGAAGCTTGATGGGCTCATGATTCAACAGCCAGCCACAGGACGGCAACACAACCACCGGGAGCAAACAAGGCACATTAAGGAATTTGCACGCAAAGATCAAGGGGGTGCAAGATCTTCTTCTCGGGTCCACTTCTCTCACGGCGACAAGTGGTGAGATCCCTGGCTTCATTGCAAAACTGATCAGCAACGAATTTCGTGAGATCTTACTGTGGTCTTGGACAAAATCATAATTAAGAGTTCGATCCCGTGACCGCATGAGGATTCTCGAAACATTCATGGTGGCACAGTAGCCCTGGCCGGCTGTTTCCAGATCCACAAAGTGGAAGCTGTTGGTTCCCTAATCTTTGAGCCCTTTGAGCCTGATGTGGCGTATTGAGTGGATGAAGTTAGTCTGTGTCATCGAATCTCTGTCCTAAGGAGCTGCCTGCACTGCGACACAGCGTCGCCTGCCAACGCTTTGAGCTCAGAAACCAAGCTCAACTGACATGACTTCTTGCTAGCAGCCCGGGGCGCAAAACCTTAACGCTCGCTTCAACAGGTCTTCAACGACTCAACGACCAACATGTAGCAAGTCTGGGCAAGCAGGACCTGTGGTCTGAGCGATATGTCTCAAAAGAGGCCATCCGCACACGTCAGAGGCTACTGCAACCGGGCGACCGAGAGTTCGTGCTAGGGAGCGCATGTACTCCTGGTTGTCCGAAAAAATCGTTAAGACCTGCAGGAGTGACGCCCTTTATGCCCGGGCTTTGAAGGCTTCACGACTGAAAGATTGCAAAGGTCGAGGCATTGCACATCTCTTTGTATTGAGGTTATGACTGGCTCAGCTCGACAACTGCATGCGCAGTCGCTCACACAGGACCAAAGCTCAAGATCTATGCAAGTTTGTCCTAGGAAGTCATTTCAAGCGGTAAGCTGCTGACGCCACCGTCGCTTAGAGCTTTGTGGACATCTTCGAAAAAGTCGGAGGTCAGCCTTAGGTCTTGCAGGCGGAGGGATCGCACTGGCAGTGCATGGCAGCGCGGTGTCCAGACACTGTAGGTCCGTCATGGTCCGTCTCGGAGCGGGACAGGTGCAGCTCGGATTCTGCCTCGTCACAGTTCGCCTGAGCTGAGGATTTCCGGTGTGGTCCTTCCCATCGCCAGTTCTGATTCTCATCTGCAGGCAAAAGACATTTCCTTAGCCACAAGGACACAGGCAGCCAAGTATAACCAAGAGACCACGGCCAAAGCTCGAACATCAAACGTCATCAAACCACATCTGGAGCTTCGATCCCTGTCCCAGATCTACTCGCACCTGGTAACCAAAACTTCGAGGCTGTTTTCACCGGGAAGGGGAGTAGGATCGAAGCCAACAGGCCGCAGCCTAGAGCTCGTCAGTGCCATGTCAGCCGCTCTTCGGTGACTTGAGTATTACCGTATAGACAAAGAGAATGTTCGGCCGCGTCGCGAGTGGTCTGCGGAGGCTCGGGGAAGTTTACCTGAGATATTACTACCTATCTCCCATGCCTGCATTCTGCAAGCTCGTGACTGCTTAGCCCAGCTGCGCAGACCTTTGCCACGCTCCCCGGGAGCACCCACTCTTTCAGCACGGTGCCAGCATCGCCTTGGGCGGTTGAGCTGGACTGGGCTTGGTTGTGGTCTGCTGCATAACTGTGCGATGCGGATGCAAAAAATCAAGCACGCGCTAGGATAGATTATTGTAGAATGCTCTGTCTGCTGAGCTGATTGGGGGGATGCTCAATGTCGACAACATACTACTGCGCGGCCGGGTAGCCAGCAATCACTGCCAAATTGTCGACACTGGCAAAGACGGCCTGGTGGAGTGCGAACGGTATCTTCCAAATGCATGTCGGAGAGTATGCCCTTCGATGACAGTTCGCTTCCGACTCGACCCGTGGCGGCTACTGATTCTAGTACCTACACTCGTGGCTGCACTGCGTTGCCGGAACCTTCGTCATGATGCTCCAGGCCCGGTCATATCGCAGCTCGCCTCCACAGGGATGCGAACAAAGAAGCAGCCACAAAATCCGCTACGAGAATCCTTTTGGGACCAAGCCTATGCAGTAACCATTCGAGAAAACGCTTCGTGACCTTTCTCGCTATGCGAGCATGCACGCTCCTGCTGTTCCATGTTCTCGCAGCTCTTCACGTTTCTCGCTCTCCCACTGCCCCTCTCTCTTGCTATCTTCACCGGCACAATCGGCATCAGGCTGGGTTTTAGCCGGCGCGGTGGTTTCACCTCTTGGTTGCATGTTGGTCCCACAAAAAGCCTCAAGACTCCAAGACAGATAAGGCGCTTGCGACCCAATTGGCGCGGCCGGCATCTGCCTGAGCCTGTGCCACCACCCAGTCTCCGGTGCCAGAGCAGACCTGCACCCGAGTTTTCACAAAAACTTGAGCATTCTTGAACCACCTTAACAAGTACTGCAAATCGCAGTTTCCAGTCTTTGAATGCCTTTGATCGATTCCCGTCCCGTTGCAAATCTCACACTCAACTCTCGCAGCCAGAATCAGAAGCTGACTCAACACGTTGACTCCTGATCTTCCGGAATTCCGCCACTTCTAGTGAGACAAAATGGGAAGCCTTGACAACTTCTGCCCAGTCTGCAGCCCCAGCAGATTGCTTCAATTCCAGCCCCTACGCAGGCCTGACACTGTCGTCGAGATACCTTCTAACCTTCTACGAGGGCCTCCAGAAGTGTTGGCCTCTTTGCGCCGAAGAGGCGGTTCCAGCGGAGCCGTCCCCCACGAAGACAGCGGGCTAGCTGGGTTTGGAAGTCCTGTGCTTTCTTTGGTCTGCGGGTGCACATCGGGATTGTCTGCACTCGTCGGCAGATCCACGATCTGCAGTTGCGCAATATTGATATGGAGCAGCTTGGAAGAGGAATCACGAAGGAGGTCCTCCTCACTGCACAGCCCGCGCTCAAAGCACTGTGGCAAACCAAATCCTCGTCGAAGTGCCTGGACAAGGGATGTGTGGGATCCGGGTGCCCCCTTCCAGCAACTCCTCCTGAAACAAGCAAAGCTCGCAACTTCAAACCCGAAAAGAAGCGGCGGAAGTGCACGGTAGTCTGGTCAAAAGGCTTTCGATTGCTCGCCTCGAAGGGCGTAACAGCGCCTGAAGCGGAATTTCGTCCCTGGCGCTGTGAAGGGGCCGCCAGGAGGCGGCGGAAAAATGCGACGAGGTCAAAGGGCGCGGCCTTGTTCGGCTGGGCTTTGGTTTATTATTGGCTTCCTTGGAAGTCTCTCAGATCTCAGGGTTGAAACAGCTTGGTGCCACAAGGTACGTGTTTGCTGGCGAAACTAAGGTTTAACCATGTTGTATCCCAGCATGTTGCCGGTTCTGGTTCAACCGGGACATTCCCACAGCACTCGCAGACTCATAAGTAGAATCTTGCACTCAGACCAGACAGATGAAGTTATTAGCAGTCCATCGTGCAGCGAAGTTTACAATATACGGTAAAGTTGAACACGAACAAGTCGTCCAGCAACATAACACAACGAACTCCACCGTAAAATCCGTGTCGACTAACCCACCAAGTGTTGAGTTTGTTTGAGGGCTTCTTGAATTTTGACCTAAGCTTTCGTCTTTGCTTGCAACAGTTTTGTTGCTGGCTTCCTGGAGACTGTTTGAGGGGTTTGTCAGGGCATTTTGATGGTGTAGTGAGGAGCAGGGAGCAGGAACTTGTGAAGCTTTTGGAGGGCCTTAACTCAAACTTAACAGGAGGCGGTTCTTTGCTGTGGCATTTGAACCAACCGATGCCTGCGACCCATGGTGGAGAATGCGAGCTGCACAGCACTCCCTTTCTCTCTCTACCAGCCTGCTCAGCAAGCGGCACATGCGAAAGCTTGTCTTCAGACAGTTTGGTGCGATGTGATACTTGTGCGGCCACGATTGTGCAAATTCGAATGTAGAGCTTTGCATGCAAGCGACTTGCCTTCGTTGGGATCCACGTTCCTAGCCAAAAGGGAGAACGCGATATCCCTCGTCTTTGGCCTTCTTGCGGCTTGCGTCGGCGACGGATCAGTTCTGTCTCGGGTTTCTTCTCCGCCCCATGAGGCAGACAACTTGCTGCACAAAGGTATTTTGTGGCCTGTTGGCCCAGACATGCTGTCGCACATGCGTTCACGCTTTTTCGCGACAGTGAAGAGTACCCGATGCGGCAGTTTTGTCCTTCGAAGTTTGAGCACTAGTATGTGCTGGGCCGGTCCCTATGGATCGCGAACTCCCATCGCGACTGCAGTCCTGCAGCGTCTGAGCAGTGTACCCCACGCGACCGTTGAGGCTCCCATGATGCTTGCAGGCCCCAACCCTTCACAAGAACCTTCCTTGTGCTGCCCCGCAATCTTCCAAAGGTATGCCAGGTATGCCATTGTCAAGCAATGTCATACGAATCTGCACATCGATGAAGAGACATGATCCGGGGAGATTCTGACATTTCGTTCATGCAGCCTGCGAGGACATCTGCAGCCGAGCACAGGTTCGAGTGGCTTTCAGATTTCAGGGAGGCTTCCTGAACACTTGGAGGTCTCCCGGAGCTGCTGTCCCTTGCGAATCGATGCTCGCCTCGACCAATTGAAGAAAACTTCCTCAGCAGGCCCGTCGACAATCGGCCTGTCTGGTCGTCAACTGGGCCGCTTCTAGTCGTCTACGGCTTCAGCTCGAGCCGGACCCACCGAACCGACGCGAGCTAAAGCGAGTAGAATCTCGTCGAGCTTCACAAAACCCTCAACACCAAACCCTTGTACAAAGCCACACACGGCTCCTCACCTACTCAACTCGACAAGGGGTCGCACTCGGTGCTCTCTTCTTCCTCCATCTGCTTTCCTGTATGTCTGTTTCTTCTGTCGGTCTCTGTATATCTCTTTCTCCTCTTGCCTTGATGGCCTTCTTCAGGGAAGCCACCTGGCGGCATGCGCATGACCAGGCTCGCTAGAAGAGGACCACGGAAGCATATCTGCTTCCGCAAACCAGCACACCAACATGCGAAGCGCCTCTCGCTGCAGCTCCTGTCGCCGCAAGCGGTCGAACTCGGCTTGTGCTGTAAGCCTCGGAATTCGGCACGTTGTTCTCTTGTTTTCAAGACCGGCACAGGATGCGGTTTTCAGGCATTCCAACACATATGCAAGCACTTGGCCTTGCAATGAGGATCAGAGAGTGCAACAGCGATACATAAAACAGGCAAAGGCTCCTAAAGTGATACACACTTGTACTTTTGTCTGATTCTGCGCTGCGCTGTTCGAAAGAACTCAACGCAAGGCCCCCTCTTCGCCTGCGGCGCCTCTATACTCTAGTGACTCTAGTGCAGACGCCTGGGCCGAAGGATCAATCCTCATGCTTGGAAGTTGCCGGGCGGCTCCGTGGCAAGGGCATTTCCAGCTCGCTCGAGGGCTTTCCCAGCTGCCTGACAGCTTCTCGTCTTGCACTGTCGTTGGGCGCTCGCTGTCATGCCGAAAATGATTTCTCAGGGGAGTGACCGCAAACCACAGTCTGCAAACGAAAACTCAGTAGCTTCTGCCCTGCCTTTCGTGCACCGAGGAGACAAGCTACTTGAGCAATGGCACAGTTGAGCCTGGGATCTCGAAGCATCTCACATGAAAGCCACGTGTGCCGCTCACCAATTTTGGCAAAAATCATATATTCAAGCTTGCTAACGTGCGAGGCTGATGCCGGCTACCGGGAACCAAAAGCTGGAAACGTAGCTTGCAAGCAAGTTTCCCGGCGGCATTGTCGAGCCTTTGCAATCTCTGCAAGCTGTGCAGGAATGCCCCCAGTCGGGCTAAGCTCGAGTCGCTAGCCGCTAGAAGCCGCTAGAATAGAGAGCAGGAGTCAAACCGGTGTCGAAGGAATTGCAATGCTCGAGGCAGGCCACTGCTCCAGTGAGGACTCCTTGCTCTCGGTCTCCTTCCTCAGACAGACGTTTCAACTGAGGAGGGACTTTGCACGTCGAAAACACCGGGACTGAACGACATCATCCCGCAAATGAGCCGTAACCTGTCTCCGCTCTGCCCAGCCCCACCAGCCAAAGGGCCACAGTTGCTGAAGGGGCTTCAGCCGGAGACCTTGTGCCAGGATCTGGCCCCAGATCCTTGGGTACTTCCGCTCGTCTCAGAGAACTGCCATCAGCCCGAAGCCACGTTCCGGGCCAAGACCACAAGGCTACATAAGGCCAGGAAACCCTGCTAACACTCGTGACACTCAGTGCCCTTTGCTGTGCACTTGAATGGCCAAGAGGAAAATTAAACTTAACACAACGTCTTGAAGGGCGGATCTGTGTTGGTACTCAGCCTAGCAAGCTACGATTAGCACACTGCGAGGTCAAAAGGATCCGCTGAACACTGCGGATCTTGTGCGATGTTGGCTTTTTGTCTTGTCCATCTCTGTGATGCCGCTCGCAGTGTCTTGGCTGAGCACTTGCTCAGGGTCTCCATCCCCACCGGCACTATAACGACGTGAAGCATTCTTGGCTCGGCATGTTGCAAGAAGATGAAAACAGCTCCCTACCAACCCAGTGCCTTGGGTTTGGGTACAGCTGTGTGCCTACAAACAGAGCAAAGAATTAAAAAAATGGTTGTCGAGTACCTCAGACTCAACGTTCAGAAAACTCGGCCAGGACCAGGCTGCCCAGCGTCTTCACCGTTGCTGCATCTGGCTCGATGGCCCACTTCGGGAGCTGGGCGTAGAATTCCTAAGCCACGCTGATTTCAGAGCATACCTCCTCCGCGGTCACTGCAAGTCACTGCAACTCCGCGAGATCCAGCAACCGACGAGATCAGGCCTCACCATTTTCTCGCTAATACTCCGGCAGACCGAGCTGATGTCAATGAGATTTCAATCACATGGCAGGGACTCTAAATGCCGACTTGCAAAACACACTCCTAACGATGCCATGAAACGCAATTCTGGATACTAACTTCCAATCCAAGGGCTTCTGCATCCGGCAGCGCTCCGAGCTTGAGGCAGCCTCGCAAAAACCTCACTCTGCACAAGGCCCCCACGCAAGCTCCAGGAATTACTCCGGTGGGCTTCAAGGCTGCAAACCTAAATCAGAATTAGGATTTGCTGCTCCGTCCAAGCAGACTTGGAGCAGTGGCTACACTCAATTCTTGTGGTCGAATCTACGCAAGGCTGACATTCTTGACCTGTGCCAAACTCCGAGTCCTGAAACATCTGAAGTCGCAAGAAGCGTGTTGGCCGCACGTATGTCCGGGTAGATAGGTGGTGAAGCCTGCCGAGCAGAGGACGAGACAAGCATATGACGCAATCCTTGCTTGCCGCATTAAAAAACATTGTCTACCTCGAGTTTGCGTGCGCACTGCAGTAGGATGCAGAAGGTCTTCCTGTCTGGCGGATTGTTGTGGCGACAGCAGAAGCAAGTATGAGGTGCCGGCACTAAAATGCGGAACTGCTGCGGCTTTGCCTCAAGCGCAAAGGACTAATTACACGGGTTCTGCCTGGCTCATGGTCTCCAACACTGCCTTGCTAGCATCCACATCGCCGGCGTTGAGGTGCCCCTTCAGCAGAGTGGTGTACCTCGATGAGTTGGAAACGAGTGGTACCTTGTAGAAATCGCCTGCTTTACATGGTTTGGCCGAAACTGCACCAGAAAATGCTGCGTCTGGCATGAGAGGATACTCGCACTACACAAGCGCAGGGAAATGAAGACACAAGCAAACAAACAAGCAAACAACAAGCAAGCAACCAGCAAGCAAGCAAGCTGTGAACATAAGTGCGCTTGGGTTTGCTTTGCTGTCAGCAAGCAAGCTAGCAAGCATGGACGGGAGGGACCGAGGAAGGAAGGAAGAGCACACACATACACACATGCGCCATACCCATACCCACACACACACACACACATATATATATATATACACACAAAAGACGTACTGTACTGTACTATACTATACCGTACCATGTTGTACTGTATTTCATTAATGTTAACTCTTAACACGTAATTCTGAATTGCTAATTCCTTATTAACTTTATTATTTATCATATATGATCGTCATACACAGGTGCACATACATATGCATCTACATATACAGCTGTATTGAAAACGCGACATATTTGTATATGGTGAAGATGATGACGATGCTCACGGGTCGGTGGGCGCATTAGGTCTGCATTCCGCCTGTGTGTCGGCGCCCCGCCGACCCCTCCCACCCCTCCCCCCCTGGAAACATACAACTCGCGGCCAGGTTGCTCGACGACCCCGAGAGGCAAATCATTCTCCTGCATTTTCGCTGCGACCTCGCAGAAAGACACGAGCTCAAGCGAAGATTCTGGATTTTCCAATTTCCAATGCTGACACGCGCAGGCTTTAGATGCAAGTTCTACTGGCAAGAAGCGGATGCTTCGGCTTCTCAAACATCCTGAGCTTGGCGATATATATGTCATCTTTACACTCTTGGCCTGGACAGCGCCACGGAGATCACCACAAAGAACGTGCACGTTCCTAGTCGCGAGCTGGAAATCATGCCAAGGGCGATGTGGACTGTGCAGCAGACATAAGGCTCCCAACCCTCAGGGCATGATAGGCCATGAGTGGTGCAAGAAAAGAAAGGGAAAGCCTCGCCGTCGACGTTTTCCTCAAATCCAAGAGGCAGAAACGACGAGAATAAATGGCGCGTAGGGCTGCCGTTTTCAGCGACAAAGCGATCGAAGATGGCCAAAGCTTCCGACAGCTGCTTGCCTGGATGTGGAAGAGGTACTGCTGAATCTGCATGCTCAGATGTGTGAGATCGTAGTGCCAGCAAGCCACGTGCACCGCAGGACGCGATGGCTCGAGCCTCGGCCAGGAAACTCATCACGAAGCGGAAATCACCGGGGCATCCGGGGGCAAGCGAGCTACATTACAAACCCTCGCGAGAGTGTCAAACAAAGCTGTGAGGACTCAGTGATGACGATGACGACGTATCTCCCCCTTCCGTGGAGCGGCTGCAGAGAGTCGTCCGTATCACGGCACCCCACAAGATGAGGCGGTTCTGTATCCACGACAAATGTATTATTGTCTTCAATCGCAGCAACGGAACATTTAACGATGAAGCGATTTGTACATCAATGCATGACAGGGGTAGGATCTAGCATTGCCATGGGAGTAATCGTGGACAGTGGGCGCTCATTGAAATGCTGCTTTTGTGCTCTTCAAAGACCTACACAACTTTTACCAGTTCTCCAGGACCCAGGCCGCTGTCGCCGCTGCCTCGCCTCCCCGGGCCATGAGGAAGGCCAACCTGAGCCGAAAGGAGAGAAAGCCATTAATTAAGCTGCGTAGAGGTCACCAACCATGGGCCCAGGGCTCAAAGCCCAAAATCGCCAGGAAATGCGGAAACCTCGCTAGGCCTCAGAATGCCCAACATACCCCAAATCTGAGAACGATGTCAAGATTTGAGCATTTCGGGCATTTGAAATGGTACGGGCAATCTTGAGCCTGGGGGCGTTTCGGCAACCTGCGAGACGCGAACATACTTGCAGGTCTCAAAAACACACCAAATCATGATGCCAAAAATGCTGACAGGTTTGAAACCCCACCAAAAGTGTGGAAGCCGACAGCTGCGCTAAATGCCAGAATTCTGGTATTCGGTTTTGAGCACTGCCGATGTTGCTGTGGGGGTGTTGGATCTTGTTGCGCTTGGCGGCATCTTCGTAACTTGATACGAAAGAACATATTAAAAGTTTAGGTATTTTGGGCCTTCTAACTGGATTTTAACTGCTACTGCTACTGCTACTACTGCTGCTGCTACTATAGTGTAGTTGTACTACTACTACTCCTCGTGCTGCTGCTGCTGCGACTACTATATATCAGCATATTGATAGTAGCTGAAAGGACAGTGCTAATAACTAGTAAGTGCTGCTGCTGCTGCTGCTGCTGCTGCTATGACGACGACTACTCCTACTACTACGACGACGACGACTACGACTACGACTACGACTACGACTACCACTACCACTACCACTACCACTACCACTACGACGACTACTACTACTACGACGACGACTACTACTACTACTCCTCCTACTCCTGTTCCTACTCCTACTCCTACTCCTACTCCTCCTCCTCCTCCTCCTCCTACTACTACTACTACTGCTGCTGCTCCTGCTCCTGCTCCTGCTCCTGCTGTTGCCACAACAACAACAGTTGCTGCTGCTGCATCTAGCACTACTGTTGCATCTACTGAGGTCGTGCTCCTGGTGATGGCTGACTAATCCTCCAGTGGTCTCATTTTGTCATCAAGATCAAGACTCAAGACTAAGCCAGCAATCATTTGAACCAGAGAGCGTTATCACTGTTATCACTGATACTAAGGCATGAGGCACCTTGCTACAGCTTGCAACGATGCAAGCAATATAAGATTTATGGAGCGCAAGTCTAGAGCCAATTAACACATCGCTGTGGTCGACTGTGTTGTTCTGAATCTGAACACTTCGATAAAGCGGCCGTCCAGGGGTTGCGACCAAGAGCTCCAAGCCGGCCTAACACTGATCGATCAGCGGCTTCGCAATAGCAATGAACAAGGCGTCGTACTATCTGCGACTGAACGAGTTCTTCGATACCTGTTTACCTAGCGCAGCCGGCTGCCGCTGGAAGGATAGGATCCGTCTGCTCCCGAAGAAGGGCATCAAGTAGCGGTCGGGCCGACAGGCGAACATGAGTACTTACCCTACAGTTAGTGCGAATGAAATCACGGATTGTCGTGTGTCAGCTGCCTGTGGTATGGACCAGTATGGAGCTTGTCCTCACAGACATCACGACAACGACCCAGGTACCGCGTGCTTCAGATAAGGCCTTTAGTTCTGTTCATACAAGCTTGACCCGCCCAACCCCATCCGTTCTCGGCCCGACGCCTCCAGGAGGGCAGCTTGGGGCTCCCATGCGGTTCCGCCATGCACACAGCCGGCCTCACCAGGTGTAAACATCAAGTGCTGCTGCGCAAACTTGAATTTGCCATACTACTGCAGCAGCTTCCAAGATGCGGAGGCTCCACAGTACATTTTCTGATTGTGCAGATGAGCATATCTGTACGTGTGTATATATGCGTGTATATATAGATATGTATATATATATATATACGTATGTGTTTGTATATATATATATAAATATATAAATAAATAAATATATATATATATATATATTTACACGCATGCATACATGTGTCCACACATGTGCACGGCATCTTTGACCAGGCTATCAGTGTGATTCGCGAAAAAGAACTCCATAGCTGATGCCGGAAAGCTCATGTTGTTCCGAGATGCGCGGCAGCCGCGGGCGAATCGTTCTGCCTACATGCATGGGCAAGCTCTGCAGTCTATAAGCACTTACAAAAGTAGTCGAGGCTGCCGTCAACGAGAACAAGTCAATGTGTCCGACTGTTTTTCTAGGCTTGACACCGCCAGCGAACAACCGCTGGCCAGTGTCTGAAAGGTTTTCGGCGCAAGGGTTCCGAATTCTCTGCGCTCTCGTCCTGCAGTCTCGGCGCCATTAACCTGCTTCTGCAACGGGGCTGATGCCGGACACCAACACCTCACTTTACCTGCAATACCTTGCAGCTCTGTTACCCTGAAGGATTGAACTGATTGAACTCACCAGCCTCGCGATGGATCTGCGCGGCGAGCTCGCGGGTCGGCGCGACCTTTTCGAATCCAAAAAGAGCGAGTGTAGCTGTTGCGAGATAAACAATCCAAATGCCGCCTGTCAGCATGATAGCATGTGACGCCTGTGGCACGGAGCTTTCCAAGTTGCCGCATGGGCCTGGTAGAACGCATCTCTCGATGCACGATTTGGGAGGTGTTTCACTTTCCTATGTGTATGTATGCTCTCGGGTCCCGGGCCACCCCCCCCCCCACCCAGCCGGGGTGTCGCCTGCGACACCCTGCCCCCTGCTGCTGCGCGGATTCGGGGGGCCGCACTTCCCCCCCCACCCGCATGGTACCCAACCCCAGCTCCGTGCAGAAAGCGGCAATCTGCACAGTAGTTTCCCGCATCAGACATGAATTACAATGCTTAATTATGAGGGTTGTATGGCGATGGTGATGGTATCAGTTGTTCTTTTGGTGACACTGATGATGAAGATGACGACGACAATGATGATGTTCAGCATGGTGTCAAAAATGATCCGATTGTCGACTCACCACAACAACGAAACCACAGGGGCCGGGGAAAGGGTACCACCACAGGCCCACCCCACGGAGGGGGGGGGGGCGAGGGCGAGGGGGGGGTGTGGCAGCCCTGCGTCATTCATATATATATATATGTACACACACACACATACATATGGAGGGAGACATTGCTTCCACATCGGCGCTTGTAAGTATAATAAATAAATAAATAAATAAATAAGTATATATATAGATATAGATATAGATATAGATATAGATATAGATAGACGACATTGAGAATGTCCACATACGCAGAATCGTGTTCACAACATTTGATTAAAGCAGCAGCACAAAGCCCGCGGCCACCAATGCAAGCGGGCCGGCGCCGTCAGCACCTGGGCCCTCTTCCTGAGGCAGCAAGCTGGATGTCGCCAGAAGACGATGGCATCTGTAGCAAACACTAACGAAGCCATGCTTGGCTTGGCAATGCAGCATGCTGAGACTCAGGACATGTGAGTCGGCACCTCTCGCCCCAACATAACTTATAACCACACAAAGCTACGAAGTATGATGAAGCATATTCGATCAGCTGACAGCTTAAATAGCGAGGGCGTGCTGCCTGTAGATATATACAGTTGTATACAGCTTACTCGTTCGAAAAGCTGGGAACACGGCACTCCGATCATGTTGAAATCTCTTGAACATTGACCCGTTGCACACGTGTTCTTGCGACGCTCGTGTCAATTGCGCCATGCCCCGCCATCCTAAGATGTGTCGGTCCCCGCATGTGGAGGCCTGGAGCCATTGGTAAATGTTGTGAAGCGCTGGCAGCCTCAGTTTTCGAAGTTCTGTTGGTCCGTGTCTGTCCGTCAGCTTGAGTTCGAAGTCAAAACAGACACACCAGCTTCGAGCATCTCTACCCATCACCAAGATGCCAAGATAGTTGGCTTCAACAATGTCAGATCGTGATCACGGCAGTGACGTGAGTCAGGAGGCAGAAAAGCCAAAGTCTTCCCAGAGCCAGTCCTGACTGCCATGGTGACAACATCGTGGCTCAAGACTGATCGTTGTGGCTATCTAACCCTTGGACACTGTCCTTGAAAAAAACAATCGAAACTTAAAATTGATCTCGGTTGACTCTGTGACTTGAAACCAATGCCACGCCCAGCAGTTTCTGCTGCTTGCAGCCACCCCCGTCAGGGGCCAAGGGGCTTCGCGATGGCAATGCAATCGCGTCCACTAAGCAGCAAAGGCCACCCATAGGCCTGCACACAACAGACATCCGCACACTTCACCGTGGAGCCCTGGAGGTCCTGGATGGGTGTCGGCTCTGTGTAGCCCGCCGCCAGAAGCTCTTTTCCTCGGCAGTGTTCTCGATGAGCCCCTTGCGCCCCTCCTTCCCGAGCCCGAAAGCCAAATTGGCAAAGCACAAATCTGTTTTTTCTTGCCGGTAACTGCGGCCACGCACGAAGATTGAGATACCGAACGTCCAGCAAGAGGAACCCAGCACCACAGCCGAGTTACGGATCGCCTTTCGAAAAGGAGAGTCCTGCTGGAGTTCCGGGTTTAGTGCTGTGGGCTTTTGCGGGAAACTCCGTCTGGAAGTTTTAACCACAACACGGGTCTGGGCGCAAAGATCGACCCCTAGAATGTTTTTTTGCCTACATCTGGCCAGTGATGGGTTGCCCGGAGACAAGCCTGATCGGACGGCAACTGCAGCTGGATCTTGTGAGACAATCAACTCAACACAGCTGCTCTGTCTGAAGCGAGCGTTCCCATTCATAGCAACGGAGCGCCGCTGTTCAGCAAGTTCGTTCCAAAGCGGTGAGAGCCAGACCCAAGACTTGCAAATTGAACGAAAGTCCTGGAATCTCGTGATTGGCTGGACGTCGTCTTGCGCACCTTCTATCATCACACCCTTGTCGCTCGACGGACCTGGCATATTTGTGGGTGTGAAGTCTACAGCAGCCTCCCGGCAGTTGTGCTACTCCGAGCTGTTGGTCCTGCCTGCTGCTCCAGTGGCGGCCGGCAGTCCTGCCAGCTTGTTGCCCCTTCGACCCCGGGATTGCCACTCCATTGCAAGCGACCCTGGCAGAACGCATGCTTCGCGATCGCACAGCTGACCACCTGCAAACTTCCCCGAAGCCCTACGCGGGCCGAAATCTGGGACTCTCACCAGGTCTCACCACAGCCCAATCTGTCAACCACGCCGGCAGCCTCGCCCTGATTTGGCGCCCTTGCCGGTTTTGGAGCCTAAGGCTCTCAGACGCGGTTGTTTCTATGTTTAAGCTTCCGGGTTTCGCATCGCTATCCACAGCTTGGATTCACTCTTGTACCAGTTTACCATACCCGAGCTTTCCCAGACTGTATCGTACAAAGTACACAACTTCTGTCCAGGAGTGACAGTAATACACATCGAACAGAAATACTGGCCCTTGCGGTCTGCTTGCGAAAGAAGTCCGACACCCGGACCACGCGTGCCCGGCTTGGACTCGCAATCGCAACTCCGTCGAAGGAGGCTTCAGCTGAAACACGAACACACGCGAGGACGAAGAGGCCGTGAGGAAGTCCCCGAAGGCCCGAGCTGCGGTACCGGCCCATCAAATTTTGAGGCGCGGGCCTTTCCTTGGCAGGCACAGGGAGGGGAGGGCAGCGGGGAGCCTTCGGATCTCCGCGAGAAAAAGTAGATTAAAATTCTGCAGAACTGCTGCAACAAGTTCCATGACTGCTACTGCTACACTTCAACGATCTTGAGGGAAAGAGTCATGGTGGTGTTGGAAAGTGGGCACTTGTACTTGGACTCCCCTACGTGCATGATGTAATATACAGAAACATCATGTGACATAAAACTATAGTATAACAGAATGAAACATAATGTAGCAAGATATGGCTTAATGTAACATAGTGAAACAAAGTGAAACGTGCTGAAAGTCAAAACATGATATAGCATAACGTGCTAAAAACTTATACAACACATTTAACACAGATAAACAAATAAATGTATATGTATATATATATATACACACACACACGCATACAATACCAATGCGTGTGTATGTACCAATCTTGCATACATCCATCCATCCATCCATCCATACCCACATACCTACATACATACATACATGCATGCATGCATGCATGCATGCATGCATGCATGCATGCATACATACACACATACGCACATACCTACATACAT